CGGTGTATCGTCTGATACCATTCGCATCAATTCCGGCGTTCCACAAGGATCAATTTTGTTACCAACATTATTCCTGCTTCATATCAATGATCTGTTGGGAGTAACAACTTGCCCCATCCACAGCTTTGCAGATGATAGTACCCTCCATACTACGTTCTCTTCCAGAATTCCCATTTCTTCCCAGGAAACTAAGAACTCACGGCGCAGACAGGTCAATACTGTCAATGAAGATCTTGCTGAAATCACAGCCTGGGGAACAAACAACCTAATTGAATTCAACGCCACCAAAACTCAAGCCTGCATTTTCTCTAGAAAGGCGGAACTCAGTATGCCCGATATTGTAATGTCTGCATGGCTCCACCATCCCCACCAAGCCCACCATATCTATGCTCGGTATTTCCATCAGCAACACTCTTTCATGGGACAGTCATGTCAGACCCATCGCAAAAGCTGCTTCACAAAAACTCGGATTCTTGTTCCGTGCGAGAAGCTACTTTACACTTCAACAGCTTCTCATGATCTACAAAGCGCAGATACGACCTGTTCTAGAATACTGTTTCCACATATGGGGTTCAGCACCAAAACATACGCTGATGCTCTTAGATTCCATCCAGAGAAGAGCCATTCACCTGGTGGGTGACGCCACACTCACTCTTTGACATCATTGGAACACCGCAGAAAGGTCGGCGACCTTTCACTTTTCTATCGATATTTCCACGGGAAATGTTCTTCGGAAATCTCTGCTATCATCCCTCCACTAGCAATACCAATCAGACGAACTAGACAAGCCCAGTCAGCACATCCTTTCGTTGTCAACCTCGAAAGATGTCGAACAGCACTTTATCAAGACTCCTTCATCCATAGAACGGCTAGGCTCTGGAATTCATTGCCTGTGGAAGTATTACCAACAACATATAATCTCCAAAAATTCAAAAAAAAATTCCAATACCTACCTCCTGTCCCTATCCTCCCTAGGATAGCACGATGTTCTTTGAACATTATAGGGATTCCCTTTCGTGCGCTCCAAGCGATGAAAAAAAAAAGAATGAACGATTTTGAAATATTTATATTTTTTGAATCATAAAAATGATTATATGAATACGTCTCTATATTCACATTCATCAAAGCACATACAAATAAGAATCCGAGTATAGAGAAATGATACAATAATTTGTTGAAAGGGCGGAGTTTCAGCCGAAGCTGTGATGAAACTCAACCTCATACATAATATTGTATTGAAATCAGTTGAATCTTGAGAGCGATGAATGAGAAATTATCCAAAAAAGCTGAAGAATCGGTTGAAACGGTAACGATGTTTATCCCACTGTATAGTGAAATTATTGAATTTTTCCACAAGCAATACACGGTTCAGCAACTGTGACCTGTCAGTACTCCTGACGATTACCGTCGTGTTGAAGCATATCTTCAAGAATTCTTGAATAGAAATCTAGCAGGAATACAGCATATAGCATCTTTTCAGGAATTAGTGTTCTTGACTATTAGGTACTATGGGTAGAATCTCAACAAAGGCCGACGTTGTTCATCGTAAGGTGTTCTTGGAATTGATTTTTTTTTTCATTTTCTGAAAACGAGCCGAGTAGTGGAATATACTCATGTCAATATCCAAAGAAACAAGATCAAACTACAGGCAGTGATAGTTCTCAACTTTGTGATATTTGTGGCTTCTAATGGACCTATCAGTTGGTGTGAACAGAACACAAAACAAGTAAAATCAATGTTTGACCTCTTTAAGTCCTCCGAAATTAGGCAATATATTTATATCAGTCAATGTTCCACCCCAAGAAGCGAATCTTCATTGGAATGTTTGAAGACATTAATGGATGTATTCGACCAGAGAAACATTCGTTTAATTATATTATGGGGATAGGTGGTCAAAGCGAATTCCATCTGAGTGTCCAATGACGCCGTGAACTGATTTCCGAAGTTGTTGAATGTTCCATCAAGAATAAGCGTGAATCAATTATAGCAAATTCACGATCACGTGTCTTTCATTGAATCTATCAGTGATAGTGGTTCTTCAAACGATTATTTCATTCACTAAAGTACAGGAAGACCGACCATATAAAGATTTCCTAGTTTGAGTACTCCACGTCTTGAAAGCTAATGAACATTATCAAAACTTGAAGAGGAATCCTGAATATGAAAATGCTTCCCTCAGAACGATGCCCTATTTTTAATATTAGGTATTTCCATGAGACATTTTATTGGTGAGTGGAAAGTTATGATAATGGGTTGAAATTTCGATCTCATTCACCTTTCTGCTATGAAAGGTTACCCTCGAATTATATTTGGTATTCAATCATCAATGGGTAGAGGAAGGTCACATTTTTTTCAAAAAACTTCTGATAGTGTCAAGAATTCTCGATTCGAAATCAAGTTATCCACTTTTCGTTTGATCCATTACACAGGTGAATATGGTTATTGAACATGATAATATAACGATAATGAAAAATCCATCGTGAATAAAATTCGGGCATGAAAAAGAATCGAAGGAGAAAAAATTCTAGAGATTCTATAGGAATATGTATGTAGATCTTTGTCGAAAGGTTTGGTAACACTTATTTCGTATTCTCCTCTTGAGTGTGATAATCTCAATATATACCTACACGTCGTCTTATTGATGATCATCACGGAACCGTGAACTGAAATCAAATATTTTCTTCGTGTATAATACACTATCGTGGGAACCAGTGAGCAATATCATATATTATATATTTTTATACACATTGTTGATGACTTTTTTGGGTCTAGTACCGACAAATAAGCCAATAACACCGTCTCCGAGAAGTCCTTCTATTATCCATTCCACTTTGCGGTTACGTGAATCACTGAACAAGTAAACAACCACTGTTTCAAAATTTGTTTATCAAATCACAGAATTAGACTGACAAGATATTTGATAACTTCAAAATGATGATAAAGGTATGCATGCGAAAGATGCCTGCAATGCAGGTGTGTGTCATGTTGAAAACTTCAAACTTCACAAATATAACTTTCTGATTTTATCATAATATATCTTTTCAATATAGATTTTTTCTTCTTTCTGTCATGGGAAAAATAGTATATTATACGCGAAGAAAAAAATTTGATTTCAACTCACGGTTTCTTGAGACAACACAACCTCAAGCTGAATTCTACTATCATTTTTTCCCTTGTATAATGTGTAACAATTTTTTCAATCGACTCGTATATCGATCGATGAGAACCTTAGTGATTGTCTAAGCTCCAAAATCAAGATGAGAACCACGAAGGTGTCAAAACTAACACAGTAGGCAGTAGTCTCTTTTCGTGAAAATATTCGTACAATTCGTACAACTCTGTTGTATTCCCCAATGTACGGGTATTTCACGTGTTTCGGTAGATTTTGTGAGGATCTTATCATCAGTGTAGTATCCATAATCGCATCATTATCGCAGTATACGCAGTATCGCACCTATGGAACGTTGGGGAAACTCAACTAAATCTGTGAAAGCATTTATTCTACAAAAAAAAGCAATTAGAACCTTGGCTAACCTGCGGTACACATATTACTGTAAGCCATATTTCAAACTCTTCCGAATAATGCCACTCCCATGCTTATATATTTTCAGCTTTCTACTTGAAATTCACAAAAATCAGAATGCATTCGAGTCACATGCCGACTATCACGACTATAATACAAGAAATGGTAAATTGTTGAAGGCGCCAAAGTTCAAACTTAGGGTGACTTCTAACAATTCTTTAGATTTTCGACTCTACAACAAACTACCAACAAATGTAAAATACCTAAGCTGTCAGCGATTCAAAAAGGTATTGAAAGAGTATCTACTTTCACACTGTTTCTACTCTGTTGCCGACTACATGAAGGCACCACTAGATTTTTCCGATAGTCACAATCTTATATCGTGAACAAGTTATTTACTGTGTTCTTTATTATGTTTATTTCAATATTCGTTGTGACTGTGGGTTATACCATTATACTTTGTGTGTTATTATTATTTAAATTCTCATATGTAGTCTTATACTGTTAGTTGAAAATATTTGTTTTTTACCTATCTATCTCCACATGACTTGCTACAAACATTACCTTTATGTATAAGTAGTTAAACAAACGTTTTCTATCTATCTATCTATCTATCAATAAAATGAAGGTGATATCGAGGGAACTGTAAAAAAACAAGGAAGAGATTAGTGGACATAGCCCTCATGAATAAATAACCGTAGACACGTGTTTCGGGCTTTCGGCCCTCATCAGTACGGTGAAAAAGTGTGCAACAGGTAGGCAACACTTGGTGGAAAAAAAACAACAAATCAGCGGAGTCAACAAACAGAAGCCAGCCGCACATTTGTGGTTCCGGTCAGCAGACCCTGAGGTCTCAGGGAAACTGCAAACGTCACCACGGAGGCAGCTATAGCTACCTGCGTGACATCCGGGTCCAGGAGTAAAAACAATAAAATGAAGGTGATATCGAGGGAACTGTAAAAAAACAAGGAAGAGATTAGTGGACATAGCCCTCATGAATAAATAACCGTACTGATGAGGGCCGAAAGCCCGAAACACGTGTCTACGGTTATTTATTCATGAGGGCTATGTCCACTAATCTCTTCCTTGTTTTTTTACAGTTCCCTCGATATCACCTTCATTTTATTGTTTTTACTCCTGGACACGGATGTCACGCAGGTAGCTATAGCTGCCTCCGTGGTGACGTTAGCATTTACCCTGAGACCTCAGGGTCTGCTGACCGAAACCACAAATGTGCGGCTGGCTTCTGTTTGTTGACTCCGCTGATTTGTTGTTTCTTTTTCCACCAAGTGTTGCCTACCTGTTGCACACTTTTTCACCGTACTGATGAGGGCCGAAAGCCCGAAACACGTGTCTACGGTTATTTATTCATGAGGGCTATGTCCACTAATCTCTTCCTTGTTTTTTTATCTATCTATCTATCTATCTATCTATACCATTGAACTCATCTTGTTTCATAATGATTTTAGTATCGTTAAAAATTCTACTCACACAAACTATTGATGTAGTTTTTCATTTTCCCCGATGGAATTCTGTCATTCAAGTTTCGAACATTATATGATACGAATCGAAGAATGAAAAAAAAATCCACCGACATGTTCTTCGGGCGTTGGCAAGGTTGAACGAGAGCAGTCCAAGTATAAATTCTTTCAAATTTGGATGCATCTGTGTCAGTTGTTCTCTGAAGACAATCGAATCCACACTAAACACCATGAATTCCTTGGTAAGCGATAATATCATCAGAATATAACTTATTTCAAACTTCAGAGCATCATAGAAATATACAGGGTGTTCCTTAAAGACATGCTGATGTTTGAAGGGTTGATTCTTTGACTCATTTTAAGAAGGAAACCTCATATGAACGTATGCCCTAAAAGTCTTAACTTTTGAGATACAGAGTGATGAAGTTTTGAAAAATATGCATGTCATTGTGTTTTGATATCCCACTTCCAAAGTTGGCGCTAGTAACACGGTTCGTTCCAAGTAGTTTCAAATATAACTTTTCTGAGGTAAAATCTCCCAATCCAAATTTGAAGTTAACTTGAACATCATTCAATTTTCCACCAAAATGGTACTATTAGTGAAACTCGATACTGTGTACCATATCCAGAATATTTTGATTCGAAAATGATGACTGTTGCTGTAGTAAAGCTATGCATGAGAGTTGGTATCATGAAATACTATATATAACCTTCATTCCATTGAAAATCGAAAAGAATAATGATATCTTGCTGAACAACATGAATCACAGGAATAATATTGAAATCAATCCTACTGAAAACAGGGATTACACAGTTTGGTTGTTTTTCCAAGACACCATTTAACATCACTTGAATGACCTCGCTATTTTCTACTTGTGCTCCTTTTGTTATATCAATACCTCCAGCACAAGAATGATATTTTTGTTTCAGAATTTGAGTGAATGGGTAATTGATCTCAATGATACTACTTATATTATTATTATATCAGCATCAGCCATGCATTACTCCATTATTATCATTCCATAATATTCCGAGAATAGTACATAGTATTGGAATTCATCAGGAATTCCTATTCGATGTTGAATTGAATAATGTTTAAGTTCACATGGAACTTGGTCTCAGAAATCTAACATCAGAAAAGTTATATTTGAAGTTACTCGAAACGGAACGTGTAACTATGCGACAATGATAAGGAACATCCCTGTGAAGTTTGAATGAGATATAGTGCTGAAAAACATGTTCACTTTCGTAAGGAAGAGTGTCTCCTTTGGAAACAAAATATGACTTGAGTACTTCAACTAGACGAAACTGTAACGATGATTACAAACTTGATTGTATTCAGGAACTTTATTCAATATGTTTTGAAAGGATTCAAAAGTTAACCATTCCTCATGATCCTTTTGCATATCGACTATAACATATTCGCCACCACTAACTGGAACAGGAAATGATAATTTCTGCATTCCAGAAATGTATTGTTCATGAGAATCTTAATAATGATATGGAATATTCGACCTCAGTAAATGATGATTATAACTCCATATCCTATGAATGGCGATCAATAGCACATGGAGTTTTCTCACACATTCATTAGTCTGAAGACTTTCTATCAATGGAAGAACGAATAATGAAAATATTCTGGTATTGTTATCTTCATTCAATAGGATATGGGGCCCCACTTATTATCACATGAATTTTATTGAATCATTCAAATTAAACTCCACATATTCGACAATTTGTTTCGGGTAGTTTCGACGTGAATTCGGCGATTATTTCATTTCATGTTTCTTATCACAATCATGATAGATTTGTTATTTGGTGTGCTACGACGCATCTCCGTATACGTCACTGCGAGTGAAACAATTGCAATGACGTTGTGCGCAGGAAAGACGAATTCAAGATACCTTAGTAGCACACCATGTGATATTTCCACCATGATCACAATGAAATACCCACGAATCAGTTTTTTTCTTCTATCAAGACAATAGTCTTAATTGGATTTGAAATGTTTCTAGCCAATTGTAACTTTCTTCGCCGCTTTGGCCGTCACCAATGCTGGAGTCCTAGCTCCTTCGGCAAGTATCATCCAAGGACCAAGCAGCAGGACAATTGTTGCCGGTCCAGATGGTAGTGTCATCTCCTCAGTGGCTCCAGGAGGTCAGATCATCTCTGAAGCAAGCCCAACTGTAGTTGCAGGAGCAGCTCCGATACTTGCTAGCCCAGTAGTATCAACTTACTCGTCTCCAGCACTATCAGCTTACTCGTCTCCAGTGCTATCAGCTTATTCAGCTCCAGTACTGTCAGCTTACTCTGCTCCTGTGTTGTCGGCCTACACTGCTCCCGTGGTATCAGCTTATGCTGCTCCAGCTGTTTACGCCAGTGGCTTGGCTGGTCATAGTTCCGAAGACACGGTAGTGGCTGGTCCCTCGGGAACCATTGCTACTAGCAGAAAAGTCGCTACCCCTGCTGTTTACGGTCACGGAATTCATGGACTCTACTTCTGATTCGAACATCTGATCGACTTATATTATTGAAAATAAACGTGTTGATTTGATCTTTGTATATCATGATTCCATATCGCACCTATGAAACTACATTTTCCTGAGCAAGAGTTTTCTGGATATTCTCTGTTTGGATATCAGAATAGGAGTATACAAAATTCATCAAGTGTTTGTGTGTCAAGTCGCCTGTTCCTATCAGAAGAAGTGCAACACTTCGAATTATATCACCTATCTTCAGTACTACTATTGCCAAGAGAATACCTCCAGTGAAGTCACAATATTCAGGTATTTTGTTTCAATCCAATCAGAAAATAGAGGCATCAGGGGGGTCTCATCGACTCCTGGAATATCATCGATTTTGATATTTCCACGAAGAACTACAGTATATAATGGAGTTAACAATGTGTCAAAGAGAACGATGTCTATCATTGTCTATTTTGTCCTCACGTTATTCGAACAGATATATAGGAAAACAAATGATACTTCCTTGTTGCCACTTCTCAAGCTTTTCAAAATATCATTAACTCCAAGCAATGATAGACATCCTTATTATAGACACACTGTAGAAAAAGACAGTGAATAGTTTACTTTAACTATATCTCCTGAGAACGTATATTAATTTTTTTGTAGTTTCAATATTGCTTATCAAAATTTTTGCATGCAGGATTTTCTATCGTGAATAAAAGTAATGAAAATTGATGTATTCATGAAATTCCGCTGACATGCGACTATACCAGGTAGGATTATTCGATATTGAGGTTTCTGTGAACAAGTTAGGTATTTGTGAATCATACTAAATAGCTGGGTTTTTCCCGCTTCCCTTCAACAATGCCAGCTTGGCTTCTTTCGACTGTGAATTGCGATTTTCATTCATGAAATGAAGAAATAAACTATGGAGCTGAAATTAATGAGGAATTGGAAAAGAGATTGTGCCAAAATCATTCGAATCATATGTTTTCAATTTGCACAAACGTCTCGGAATAAATATTACATTTGGTAGTGCAAAACTTCCTGGAATATTCCATGGAATCCAGATCATTTTGTCTTAGTTCGGTATTCATATATATATAGAGATATAATTCGGCTCACTATGGTATTCATTCTTGATGTGGTTTATATACTCATTGTTTCAATCAGGAAATTACTCATGAATTTGTTACTCACCAGTACAAAGCTGCTCATAACAAACGATTCGATAATTCTTGATTGCGTGACATTGTTTTCACAGTCTCTTATGTGCATGAGACAAGCTGAAAATATGGAGATAAAATATTGCGAGAGATAATCCTGCCGTGTTCGGAAAAACATATTATATGCAGATATGAATATCCCTCTCAGGGGCTCACAACTTGTGGGTACAAGAATGGTGATCCCAAGGTGCCGTAGCCGGATATTCACCAAGCTTCAACTTGTCTTTGGTGATACCATCTCCTCCCATTCCTTTTCAATCGATCTCATCGGCGTTCCTTGGCCAACTTCTCTCTTCCTCTTCCCCGCCACCGTGATCGCCCGACAGATGAAGCATTTTGGGACCATCTTTGCTATCTCCAGGCCAGATGGAAGAATTATCTGTGGTCATATGTGGCAAAAATGGGGCGATTTCCTGATAGCTGTCTAGGTGGCCATCGAGGCTCTTGCAACCCAGTCCAAGCTGTGGGAACCCGTGGCGATGGGTGAATGACACCGAGGGATGGTGTCGCTAACGGGGCCTCTAGGAAACTAGATCTCAAAGTGAACAGCCTTAGCTCTGTGCAAGGGGCACCACAGTGCTGGACAAACACCTCCCTCCGTCACTCGTAGGAGAAGGAATACTTTTGGCATTTCTCGTAGACGAGAACAGGGATCGGAAGAGTGATCTTCAGGAACCTGAACAAGGAGGATTCTCCATATTGAAGTGGCCCTTGATGAGCATCATGAGTCGTATATGGAATATTTGATAAACGGCATGTAGATGAAAAACAATGAGCCTAGGCCTGAGTGTCGTCGGAGACATCAGTCAGACTAGCCTACAAACGGGGTGGAGTGATGAGTGGGTACATCCTGGAGTCAGGGGACTCATACATTATCTAATGGAGGATTTGACCAAAATGATGTCCATGACGTATTCCAATCACCTCGACGGAATGAAAAATAGTAAATGTGTCTTCTTCGAATCTGCTTCTACAGATTTCCGGTTTCTCATCCATAAAGTGAAAGAGGTTAAGGATAACGTCATATATGTGTAATTTCATCAAGTGAATCAGTGCTTGGTCACACATTATTCGAGCAAGCTAATATTTTGATTCACAGGGGGTGTTCCGAAATTACATAAATCGGTTTTTACTGCAAATTCTAGGGACAAAAATGATCGAAGAACTGCAAATCACTTTAATGAGTCCAGAAATTGCTCTTTAAGGGGTAATAGCCATCTGAAAACTTCATGAACAGTCATGATCTGAGCAGTAGATTGAAATCGATTCATTTCGGAAATGTGAACTATCTGGGATACAGACGGTTATAACGCCTGAAGGGGTCATTTCTGAAACCGTGCTCATGGAATCTTCTTCTACTCTTTTTGTTGCTAGAAGCTGCAGTTCGAACGACACCCTGTATAATGGATGCAGTGTGGTACAACAATCGAACTCGATTTCCTTGTTCTCAAACTCTATAATAGCTTTCGTTTGTTTCGTACTATAGAAGCATCGAATTCTGTTCGATCAAGACTCTCAAAATTGGAGGAAATCCATATGATATCAACGTTTATTCGAGAAATGATGAAGAAGTTGTCAATCAACATTGCATTGATCGGGTAACACGCACCCGAATCATTCACAGATTCCGAACTTTCCAGACTCAAATTAGTATCAATCAATTGAAAAATCATTTGCCACTGGAAAATGTGATGACTTGAATGATATGACAAAGCATTTGTGTGATTCAAAAATCGATTTCATTTTATTGATTACTAACCAATACTGTGTTGATGGTATTCAAAAGGGAAAAATACCTCATGATCTATCCATTCTTCAAACATTTTAGGGATTTTCTCTCGTCAAATGTCAAATGATCACCAAAGAGTGGGATAGTGTAATGATGGTTCAGTTTCACGTTATCTCATAATTCATAATCTGCTGGGTGGTTCCTCGAACGATTACCATAAATTCTGATCAGTTCCACATCAACATTCCAGCACGTGGAATCGCACGTAAATGAATTTTCAAAAGCAATCTATACCTGATCCACCTCATTATCGTAAAAATGAGTCATATATTCTGAAGAACAAGATGATGAAGAATTTATTCTGATCTGACACATTGATGAGCTGTAGCTTGTTTCCTTCTCTTGAAGCGCATGGAAGGCAATTCCTAACATGGCGCGTACCTGAGTAGGACAAGGAGGAGATAGGTGTTGATTTATTCATCATCACTTCTCTCTGATTCGTGGAACCTTATGGTGCTACCTCTGATTATATACTTACATAACTACCATAACAATGCCACCAAAACTCACGCCTGTATCATCTTCACGAAGGCAGAACTAAGTATGCCTGATATGGCAATCAATAGAATGAAGAGGTTTTTGTATTTCGTGTGAAAATTATTATGAAATGCGATTTTATAATAAATTTCACAAGATATACAAAATCTCTTCATTCTATTGATCAGTCTGGCAATGGCCAGCGTAGCCTCGTGGTTAGAGCGTCAAGGTTCTATCCACGTTGGATTACCGGGAGTGGGTTCGAGTCCCACCACGAGCCCAGAAATTATTCTGATGGCCTAAGAAAGTGTTTGGGATCACACGTTGAAAGGTAAGACCCCCGTCATTCCTTGCTCGCACAAGTCTCTTGAAGACTTCTGAGGGTTGCTCGTAAGGGGGCAACCGAATGATGGATAAGAACAAGAACAAGAACAAAAACAACAAGTTACGTGTATGCAGCTAGTACAGATCTTCACCTTGTACAACCATTCCCACCAAATCCACTACATTTATACTCGGTTATTCGATCAGAAATACTTTTTCATCTATTTTATGTGGAAATCATGTCCGATCCATCGCGGAAGTTGCTTTATAAAAACTCGAATTTTCATTTCGTACACCTCAGGAGTTTATCTTGATCTACAAAACACAGATACGGCCTGTTTCAGAATATTGTTTTCAAATACCGATTTCAGCACCTGAACATACGCTTATGCTATCAGATTCCATTCAGAGAAGATTCGTTCGCCTGGCGGAAAATGCTTCACTCACTAATCCCATTTCCTCATCAAAATACTGTAGAATAGTCGGTGACCTTTCACTCTCTTATTGATAATTCCACGGGAAATCTATTTCAGATATTTGTGTTATCATTTCGTCCCTAGCAATGCCAGTCAGACAAAATCGACCAGCCCAGTCAGCACATCCTCCCATCGGCTTTCATCTAATCTCTTTGTCAAACATGAAATATGTCTAACAACACTCCATCAGTACTCCTTCGTTCATTGAACAGCAAAACGTTGGAATACAATGCCAAAAGAAGTATTCCCACGAACTTATAACCTCCGAGAGTTGAACAAAATACAATACCTACCTCCTCTAGCTTCCTGTTTTGCCTAGATGGATTGTTATTTCCACTAGTAACTTCAAAACACGTCATTATTGATCAGTTTTTAACCTGAGATATATCACTTTTAGCTTCTTATTCGGGTATATCGAAGACTGGAACCTTTGGCACGATAATACACTACACTGTTTTACCACTAACCAAACCGATTTTTTAACGCCTCGACACGTGTTTCGCTAACTATGTTAGCATCTTCAGGAGAAGATTAAAACTAAATATGCTATTCTAGTGTGCTGCTTATATACGAGGTATATGTTCACCCAACTGTGAAAAATACTAACCGTCAAGTTAATGTTTGTCATGGTTGAGTTCACATGTTAATCTAAATTTTTATTTTACTAAACTATATAGAGGGCCATATGGAATAGGTCCATTATCCTTATTCATTACTCTATTACTATTCTTAAATATCTCTAAGCTTTCATATGCGTCTAGTTTTCTAATGTTATTAACTTGCTTAACTAATTTGAGGTT